TATATTTACATATTAATATTATATATTTACATAAACGTAACAATGCGGCTCGGATACAACCAAATGGAGCTGCAGTTAATGTGATTAAAGAGTGGTTTTATTTCTCTTACATCGAACTTTTCATTAAAATTAATCACCGTGGCTGAACATCTTAATGAGAGTGTTTGATATTTCTCCCATATATAGCAAAAAACTTCACAGTGATGTCACAATAGGCTCACAAATAAATTATGTACTATGAGATTGTCAAAAGATAACAACATGATATCACATTATTATCTTTAATTTATACATATCGTAGCAGGGAGGTACAGTATTTATCACAGCTTCATACATTGAAAGAAAAGATTAGCTGTTGCAGCAAATTAGATGGTAAAATATGGCATAGCATTTTTAATTGATTGCAACAGCCAATTATTGATTGCTGCAGCCAATTGTTAGTTATGTTAGTCTATTCGCAATGTCAGTATAGAAGATATAAGATTTCGATTAACAAAAATTGGTTGCTGCAACCAATTAAAAATGCTATGCCATATTTTATCATCTAATTTGCTATAGCAATCAATCTTTTCTTTCAAATCATCAGTAGTGATGTCATCACAAAGCGGACACTCGCATATCACTATGATGTTCGTGCGATATTTTTGGCAGTAGGAGTTGGAATTGTAACTGTATGGTAAAATAATTATGATCAGGAGCTCAACTTTGATAATTATTACTGCTATAATATTAATAATTATATTTTTGCACTACATATATATAAAAAAATATATGATTTATAGTACTTTTCAAAGCCAAATACGTACATTTTTTTTATAAGATTGTATATAAATATTATTCCCAGCACAGAAGCTTGCAGCTGCATTGCTGCAATGTTGCAACATTGTAGGAATGTTGCAATCTTGCTGTAATATTGCTGGAATAGCCAAAAAAAAATATCAAACACTTTCTCTTACAATATATTAGCGTACATATTTTTTGATTTTTCACGCGATATATTTTTGTTTTAATTAAAACAGATTTAGCAACACGAAATTACGGAAAGCATTTTATATACAGAACAGCAAAAAAAAAAGAGGATATATAAAACGTCTGGTATATAAAGCTCTTCAATGTGCTGCTCCTTTTTCCTATAGGGCTTGCTTTGTACTAAAATTCGATAAATGAAATTAATGCACATGGTGTTTCCACATGGCGGAGTTACCGCGCGAATTGATTTCATCTCCAATTTCTGCACATTTCGTCGTAACTTTTAATTTTGCTTTTTTCCGCGCGCAGACTCATCCTGTATCGCCACTGCACTCTCTGCCGCCGGTAATCTTTTATCGCCCCATAACACGCTCGCGGCTGCATCATTTGCGCATTCCTTTTTTCCATTCGTTTATTCTATTTGCATGCGACAAGGATTTGCTTGCCTGTGCTAATAAATCACCGGTATCCCTCAGTCTGCCAGGACAAAACAAGCCCGACCACTATACGGCTTGAAATCTACGGGGTGTCCGATAACTATTGTACAATACTTTAATAACGTATTTTTGGAATTAGTTATAGACGGACACCTAATATGAA